TATTTCATTATCATAATGGCACATATTTCTGGAAATGTATGTTTATGTTGCAATTTTGGTAATCATTGATAAATTTGCAAACTCCCTAACAATGCGCTACATAATTTACATAATAAACAACCATTGCAAAAGTACTAGTACCCCACACTTTCGGAAATTTGTTCTTCAGCATGGCCAAATTTGTAATTTGAACAAGTAATAATTTAGACACAATTGCACTTGTATTCAGAATTGGGAGTTGGAGTTGTGGGGTTGATTTCACTTTTTTTTTAAATGCTTTATAAAACACTACGGTCCCCTATCATTTTACTTTTGAAATGTGACACTATAATACCAGAAAACCCATCCTAAATCAATATCAAATATCACACTTACCTGGTGTACATACTGTTCAATTCTACTTGGCATGTCAAAGTTAATGACCAACTTCACTTTGGGGAAGTCAATACCTCTACCAACTAAACCAGTACATACTAACACTTGTATGTTACCATCTAGAAACTGTTGTAAAATAAACGTCCGATCACTCTGCTGCTTTTCGCCGTGTAGAGCTAAACAGTTCACACCACATATCTAAAACAAAGAAGTTCAACACTATAATATGTTCAAGAGGATAATTACTCTGTTTAACACATGTCCTACTAATATGCAAGGACACTATACATGTACATGTAAGCCTTGCTTTCACAGACTCACTCAGTATTTCTAAAAAAAAGAATGTTTGTTGACAATTTTATCATGAGTCACATTCAATGTGATCTTTATTGCATCATTCATGATTGTTTTGTAATCGTTACTAAAACAGTACATATGTAGGTTTTAAATATGTAGCAATATCATCAGGTAATTGGCTGATAAATACAGGTATACTGCACTCAATGTTGCTCTCAAGAAGCCAGTAGTTCATTAACAAACGTGGAAGCAACATTGTTTGTAACAAAGATGTATTGTCAACCAGTTAGCTAGAGATGGCTAGGTTTAAAAAACAAATATGTAGCCATAGTAACGATTTTTACCTCACCTTATGAATGGCTTCTGCTAAAAAGTCAGCTCCTACTCTACTTTCAACAAATACTACCATAGGCGGTCTGCAATAATCAATGGATTCTGTTAAAATAATGCCCCCCCCCCTCCAAAAAAAAACGCCACAATTTGTAACTCCCTATAGACTAGAATACTGTAAACTACATTAATTTCACAATCAGTGAAATTTCGATGAAATGATAATTTGGAGGGGTGGGTGGGGAGTTCTACAAGATGGAGTGTCAACTAATTATTTTCAATTTCAATTTTTTGTCTTCACAAAAGCCACAAAATCATTAAATTATTGGCAGCGAAAATTAATACTGTAACAGTAATTTTTGCTACTATCAATTATCATGGCTGGGGCATGTGCTAAGAATGGGCAGAACCAGACACCCTCACACTGGATTGAGATGGGTACCACCTAGGAAAGGAAAGTGAGGCAGGCCTCTGGGCACCTGGAGAAGGACTGCGGAATAGTAGATGAAGGCAGCAGGGAAGACCTGGAATGAAACAGGATGGCTTGCTCAGGACCGTAATGGCTGGAGGAGATTTGTCAGCGCCTTATGCTCCACCAGGAGTGAAGAGTAAGTAAGTAAGTAATCAATTATTATAATACAATGATATGTACTTTACCGAATTTGTAGGGAACAAAATTTCACCACATTCATCAACTCAATGAAATATACTCTGCTACTAAATGTTGCAAATTATCAAACTTAAGAGTTTCACAAACAATTTGTGAAATAAGTGGCAAATAAAAAAATTAAACAAAGTCTTAGGCAGGTTACTCAGAAAGACAAATTATAAAGTGTTCACAGACACCCTTACACTGTTTCATGATTAATTGAAAAACAATTCCTCCCCATCACTATTCCACACACACACCATATTAAATGTGACCTTTCAACCCACAGATACTTACTTGAAATATTTTGGATCTTGTAAAATACTGTACAATTTTTTCTTCTTGGATGGTTCTTCCACCCAGAGTATAATTTGTCTCACTGCTTCATTTGGCATACTAGGCTGAAAGTAATTGAACAAATGTTTTTTTAAATCTCAAATGTACACCAAACCAATAAGATAAGAATAGCAGCATTTTACCATCAGAACTTGGGTTGATGATAGTGGTGGATTTGTAAATTCTACACAGAAAAAATTGACAACATTGAAAATGAACGAACAAAAATATATTTATAAAACAACCTAAAAATATTTAGCTCAAAACTAAGTGAAAGAAAAAAATGTACAAGGCAATTGGTGCATTTTTTCTATTTTCTCCCCTCATGGATTTTCTAGTGCTCAACCCCATTCATTCTTGACGAGAGTCAGCACTACACCCCCTAGAGTCTCCACTGTGAATAATTTTGTTTTTAAAAGTTTGCATTGCAACTTTGGTGAATTCAGAAATAGTATTTGTTAAATGTTAGGATATGTTATGACTGAGAGGCCAGCTCACCAATCCATAGACAGTATTATTGAAAAGGCACCCACCTTTCCTAAGGAGACATACACAGGATTTGATAACAAAGAAGATGCCATTTTCTCAATAGCTGAAGGAATTGTGGCAGAACACATCATGGTCTGTACATCATCTGGTGCATGCTTTAAAATGTCCAGTACCTATAAATAACACGCTATGAGAATAATTACTGTATTTGCTTTATTATTAGCACATATACATGATTATAGAGATGTTCTTATGATCAAAATAATATTTTGATGATTCAATATAAATAATGTTATTTTGGATTTATATGGCTTCTATTGAGGATGGACAACTAAGAAAGCAAATATAGTATTTCTGCCATTAAAAATAAATTATATGTTTAACTGCATATACTCTATTTAAAGGGCCTAGAAACAAAGATTCTATTTATGGTATTCAAGCTACAACTAATTTCAACCGTGGACACATCCCTGTCTCACATAATCCACCCACAAGAACTTGATAGAAATTGATCCTACTGATTTAAAATTTGCCCTCTGATGGTATGATTTGGAAATATTTTGTGCAATCCTCAAAGTTTAGAGTTAGAGTAAAAAAACAGACAAACTATTTACAACTGTTACTTTTCACATGAATTCTTTGAATGATTATGATTAAATAATTAGTTTATGCAACAATGCATTCAAGTTATTTGATGGTGATGGAAGTTCTTCCTCTGTTACAATATTGCAGCATATCTATCTGATGCATTAACAAAAGAGGCTATACCATTTTAATGGGGGTGTAGAAGAGTTTCACTGTGAGAGATCTGCATTGCGACTGACCTGTTCTTGAAAACCCATGTGTAACATAGAATCCATTTCATCAATGATGACCACTTGAAGAGACTCCAAAATGACTCCTGCCAGTAAAGACACAAGAAACAGTATTTTCTTAATTTGTTATTGGTTATTGTAAAAACAGTAAATATTATACATATTTCATGACTCATGGGCCTTGCAAAAACAAAAATGTTCCTAGTACAATGAAGGGATAAAGTACAAACAGCATAGGAGAAGCCAGAAAATAACACCACTCACACAGGATCTTGAGTGACTAAATACATGTATGTAACTTTCTTCCATATTTCAGTGTATGTAGAAATTTATAGTAGAGCCAGTTTGTATTTGTACCAGTTTACTGTACTGTTTATTTGCATTGGTGCAAATTGAGGTGGTACCAGTGTACAGTGCAAGTACCAGTTCAGAATGACATCTTTTAGCAGAGAGACAAGCTTAGAATGGTACCAGTTAGTACCAGCTTATGAATATCCCTACTCAGGACATGTACATGGCACTAGTTAGTACATGTACCAGTTTAGAATAGCATCATTCACTCAAATTTTATCTGTTGGCTCCAAAAGTAGGGTTCCTTTCAAGAAATATTGAAGAATAAAAAATTGCAAAAACAACTGGATGAGAAGGTCTGGTAGTGAAAAGGTTAAAACGTTCCAAAAAATCATTCATTAATGAATGAAATTCAATGAACCAAAACATCAAACACAACATGTGTTGTTTTAACACTGCTGTTCACAACAATACAATCAAGCCTTAATTTTAAATTATAAAAAACTATACAATATTACCTCCTCTGTCAAGTATATCTTTAAGTCTTCCAGGTGTAGCAACAATTAGCTATAAAGATAAATACATTGAAGCACTTTTATTATTTTAAATGGTACCAGTATGCATATATAAATAGCTCAGTTGCCAATTCAATCTTCAGGTTAAAGTTTATTTTTAGCAAAATATTGTTGGAAGCATTTGACACGTCAAGTAATATGTGTACTGTTATAAACAGAATGACTTTGGTATTGACAAGATATCCGCATCAGAATTTTCATGCAACTATCTAATCATCCCCTAGCAGTTCTGTGGATTTGATTGTTTTTGAAATTTCAGCATTTTAGGGTGACATCAATTTACTAAATCACAGACAGTATAATTCTCCGCTCAGAGATCATTGATCAAAGATGGCCTATATAACAAAATATTCTTGCACAGCCCTCAGGCCCCTTCCTTTCATATTTGTTACCACTGCATCTGAATGAACTTAAAGGGTGGCAGTCGTCGTGCCGCGTCCTGTTCGATATAGCAACGTATACAACGCTTGTAAAATACATTGCTTATTTACATGAAATTCGAACACATGCTTTAACATACGTCCTAGATTAATTGTATTAATCAAGAACATGAACCAGAATTTGTTCAGCAATGCACAACAGGATTTATTGTAGTGAAGACAATAAATAACTTCAACAAGCTGCCTCTCAGCTCAGCAGCACCGCTGTTAGCAATGCACATTTCACTTTTAAGATGTCATCACAAAATGAACAAATCTGAGTGAGGTCCACCTGTATTACCTACTAGTATGTGTATAATATCCAAATGATCAAACTTGTGATTTTCAACAAGAAGTTGAAAATATCACTTTTTTTTAAAAATTACAAAAAAATTCATCAAAATTACAGAATTAAAGATATCATCACGAAATAAACAAATCTAAGAGAGGTCTGCCCAGGGTACAAATACACCAAGTATCAAAGCAATAAAAATTGTAGTTTTCAAGAAGAGGTCGAAAAAGTAAAAAGTTGACACGGATGATGCGGATAATCACTCATATACAGGGATAAGCTCTGCTCAATAAAGTCGACAGAGGAGGTAAAATAGTGCAATATGTCATGTCAGATCAGATCAGTACTCAAGAATGCTGTAAGTTTCAAAATCATTTATTAGTTAAGCTAATCAAACTTGAAAAGACATGCAACAAAGTTTTTAAGGGAGCATAGTTATTTACTTGCTTTATCTGAAGTGCACCTTTCACAAGAAGCATAATAAAAACCAACAGTTGCATTAATTGTGTATCATATCATTGAAATATATTAAGGAAAAAATAATATACAGTGATAAATTAAAATACACAAGCAGCAAAATTTAAGTGACCTAAACACAGGGTGGGTGAACTAGAATTCTTCCACCTTCCACCTGATGTTACCCTATCGTCATAATTTACACGATGCCGTAATTTTGGAACTATTTCCAAGATTTGAGAAATTTTTGAAAACAAAGTTCATAGCCAGAAAGTTCCAATAATTTTCACTAACTTACTCAGTTCTAGACATCCTCCACTAAATGGTTGGATCAGGAAGATGTATAATAATATGTCTATTACGAGGATACTGCGAAGTACATGCTCATACAGTACACTGTCTCATAGACGTCTACTACAAACCTGATAGCCAATGTACAGTATTCATGCATACCTTTCCGTAGTCCTCGCGATAACCTTAACATTATTATTATGAGTGCTTATTCAATAGAAGTAAATAGTTCAAAAAATAAATTTCAAGATCTGGTACAGAAATAACCATAAATAGAATGTAAACTCCTTTCCAAGACCCTAAGTTTGTCACATCATACCCCCTAACTACATGTAAATTTTTAAGTACCTGAACTCCCTTGCTTAGTCTGTACAACTGTGTAGGCATGGGTAGACCTCCTACTAGTAAAGAAGTCTTCATTCTAGGAATACCTGTTAGTGAGTAAAACAATAATAGGATTCTAGTGTTAGCATTGTGCCAGGCTGACAGATATCTTACCATAGGAAAGATTTAGAGCAGATACAAATTACATACTATTAGCAACTATGTTGTGTGACACCCCCCCCCCTAGAGGATACATGTAATCAGAACTGTACATAAGGCTCTCACCTAGAACATGTGACCATGTTTAACCTTTATCTGGTCAAGTCAATGTAAAAGTACATTTTATTTTTTCACTTTTTTAAATTCACTTATTAAATATAACCAGGCATTTCTTGCAATCATCCTTCATCTGCATTATCAAGATGCAACAAAAGTTGAATAAAATTAGTATATTCAGATACCTATTAAGGACTGTGATTACCATCTAACTATTTCTGTATATAACAACACTTGCTGTCATTTAACATAAAACTTTACTGCTGTAATCTAAAATGGAACAGCTTATGTTTCAATATTTTTTGACAATCATATAACATTAAAATGTGCATGTCCTCATCAATTTTGGAAAACAAATTAAACAAAAACATTTGCCTATATATCAATCTTGATTCCAAAAAACAATTTGTAGGACAAATTTTGTGTGCCGTCTTTTATCACAATAGTAAGATGGCAAATTAATGTGCCATCCCAGTGTTGTCAACCAGGAAAGGTTACTTTTACACCAGAAAACATTTCCATTGGAGTCACTGCTATCTCTCTTGACAATGGGAGTCGGAGGGGGGGGTCATTTATTGCAAGTTGCAAACCAATCTCACAAAACTTAATACTGCATGTTTGAAAGGCAGGTTAGACTGTATTATGTTTCATATACTGCTGAGTAACATTTGGATTCAAGAATTGAACCCAGAACCTCCCTGATAGTATAGTATAGTAGAGTATAGTGTATTTTATTTGACTCAAATTAATGAATTGGAAATACATTAACCATGGTCAATAATCATACACACAAAAAAACCCAATAACAAGAAATACCGATAAAAAAAATAAAATAAAATGTTAAAACAGATAACACTAACAACTATTGGGTATTACATTGTAAAATTATGTTAATAAACTTTCCTAGATTATTGATATCTATTATTCCCATAATATGCACAAACATATTTTCTTTTGGTAATTTTAAAATATTATCATTGTATAATGATAGAGTATTCCAAAAGTAGCTACGTGCCTTTACAATTTCATCCAGTTTGCAGTCAAAAAGAGCATGCATTTCATCACCAACAGACTGATCAGAACACAGTGTACAAAATCTTTGCTCTGAGGGTATTTTTTGGTATCTTAATTTTTCAATTGGTAATTTATGTGCTGAAATTCTAAATTTGGTTACACTTACTCTGTGATTTAAATTATTAATTTCATTCAGATATGGTTCAAATTCATAATCTGATTTGTATTTATTGTAAATACGTAGTTTATTATGTTCCTTTTTGGATAGAGTTGGCAACCAAATTTATTCATAGTAAATTCTTTTAAGATTGTTTCTAAAAATTTTAGCATCAGTGTCATTTAATCAAGTTACTTCAAGTAGTTTAATTACTATGATGTACACTCTGACTGATAAGCACAGTGCACTATATTACTGCATTCTTTATTTTTTACTTTTAACCAAAACTTGTACATTTGGGTACAAATTTCAGTCATTAGGGGATAACTACCAAGCTCTGCTCTAACAGCAATATTACTTGCCCTTTTGTGAACACCAAGTAGTTGTTTGTAGAATTTGATGTGGATTGATTCAATTTTTGAGCTATCACTGAATAATTACTGAATAAATAATTCAGGAGTCATATTAGGCTTAAAATTAAAAGCTGCCCAAATTTCCGAGTCGTATAGTAGAATAGGCATAACAGAACTACGAAATAGTTTAATTGCATTAATTGGTGAGGCAATAATGTTGTTTAATAGCAGAGTTTGTTTTAGGACCCCTAGTGCTCGCTAGCGACTGTAAAATTGCCACTATTCTGAAAGGCGATATAACACACACATGCTAACCACTCAGGTGTCTCCAATGTTAAGCAAGCCCACTATACATATCAATGCTCATGAGATATTAATGAAGGAGCAATTTGAACTCATGAACTCACGAATAATAGGCAAGTTAAAAATAACAAAAACCAGCCACTAAAAGTTCGGGTTCACAAATACTACTACAATACAGCTATTGACAGAGGAAGGTCACGCCCTGTATACAGGATTCATGGTTTAGTTAACACACAGGCATACTAAAAAAAACAAGCTGTGAAACCACCTACATGAACATGTATAGCACTGGACACCATCACCACAGGTAAATCTCTATTTGTGTTAACAGTTTTATAGTTTTAGGTAGTGCATGGGTAATACATTTCTTTCTCTTAATAATATGTTAATTCATGGCATATGCATGTCATTTTCTGTATTACAGTTAACATATAACTAAAGTACAATAAAAAAGTCTTGCTGTATATTATTTTTCGTTGCATAAAAATCGATATATGTTTGTATTTTATGCATGTATTTATCAACAATTTCAAAGTTTACACTTGAAGAATTATACCGGTAATTTCAAACATATAATATAGCCAAACGTTCCTGTTCATTCCACAATGGTAGGTATAATTAATGAGCATTCTTTGTCTGTATTGCACTCCAAAGGAAAAGTTCAGAACCAGAAAACGGGTGAGCTAAATTGTCGTCTGCATTTTACATGAGACATGATCATTTATAAACACAGAGTTAAGAGGTCATATACGTTTTATAAGTCTGACCTTGCCCATATAATCTTGTTTTGACATGGTTTTTTTAACAAACACATTTACTTTCAGTTAACTCGTTGTGTTCATGGTATTTGTGATTTTTGAAACAAATAATAAGTAACTTGTATACTGACGGGCATCAAGTTAGTGGCCCAAATTTGAATGTCAGTGTGTTATTGAATAAATAAAAGAATGGCCACAGTGCGTGGACATCATAGGCCATCACCAGTCGTCACACATATTGAAAACAAGCTGGTCGGCTGACTTGCAATCCCCCTCTATATATATCACATTTTGAGCACCAGCACCCCAATCTTTTGTAATGCACTACCACGATATGCCGCATTAACACATTTATTCAAGACTTTTGTCAACATTCGTCAGTCTTGCTTATACGAAGAGCACGAATGAAAAAGGTTGCTAAGGTAACGCACCTTCAGTGCTTGAGGTTCCCAAATGTTGACGTAATTCCAGAAGACGTACAAGTACTTTATGATTGTTTATGAAATTATGCTAATTTATTCATGGTAGGTATTATTCTGTATTTATTCTGTGCTCATGAATATTCATCTAAGTCGATATTACCTTTAGGAGTTTGAAGACCAGCAGTGAGGATCGACCTTCGTATCAGGCGGTATGGTGAATCAGACATGTAAAGATGCTTGTATTTTGAGTGAGTGTGAGGATCGACCTTCGTATCAGGCGGTATGGTGAATCAGACATGTAAAGATGCTTGTATTTTGAGTGAGTGTGAGGATCGACCTTCGTATCAGGCGGTATGGTGAATCAGACATGTAAAGATGCTTGTATTTTGAGTGAGTGTGAGGATCGACCTTCGTATCAGGCGGTATGGTGAATCAGACATGTAAAGATGCTTGTATTTTGAGTGAGTGTGAGGATCGACCTTCGTATCAGGCGGTATGGTGAATCAGACATGTAAAGATGCTTGTATTTTGAGTGAGTATTTATTTACATTTACTGTGTGAGTGTTACTTTCAAGAGCTGACTTTTTGATCCATTCAAGTGTAAACAACTAGGTGGACCATGCAAATTGCATTTCACATGACATGTGCACTGGTGCAATCCCTGGGATTGTGGAGTCGTGCTTTAAGCCCTTTACATCTTCACTGTTAGAGTGAATCGAACACCTCTCCTTTGTTCCAACACCACAAATATTGTTTGGATAATTTTCAGTCAATGTAATGACATTATAATGTACTGCTCTCTGTTTTTCTCACTCCTGCTTCAGAAATGTCTAAGGAACTGGAAATATATCGGTATATATAAATATATGGGAGTGATATTGAAGACGGCGCTGCATACTGAATAAATAAAGTTGATGAGTTATAGTTACAAAATGTATAAAAGGTCTGCACCTCTATAAATTCCCATGGGTATATTGTGTTAAGAGAAGAGGTAATATACCCAAGATGAATATAAAAAATTGTTTTTTTTTTCTGATTGTACTCTCTGCATGCAGCTTAAAAGTAATACTGCTGCTTTTAGAGAGATCTGAAGTTCAAAAGTTGTCCACATGGATTCCTGGAAAATTATATATCAACAGTGACAACCTCAAATCTTGGTTACATCAGAACTTAGGAAGGTTTTTTGAAGGTAGACAACTAAGTGCAGAGACAGACATGGACACTTCAGAAGTTGGAAACCCTGTACTGCTCAGCAGAAATTTCACTGTTAAGTGTTACAACACAATAAAGTGTATACATAACAACTCTGGTTACGATCAGGATTTAGTACACATGGAAATGCCGGCCCAAATAAACCGAATGCAATCTTCTAACAAGATCTTAACAGCGATGGAAACAAAAAGTATTCTGCCCGAAGAAGACGAGCCTAATTTGAAGAAAATTCTGCAAAGTTATGACAAACAATTCAAGAACCAATCTGTGGATAAATATAACCCTGAGGGGGTGGTGTATCAGAAAAGGAAATTTCATGGAAAACTGACACAACAGGCTGCTTTATGTCAAGTAAAAAAAAAACTACCTAGTATGATGGGATATGACACAACGCCCTTCAAGGAGATGGGGATATCAAAATATTTTCCAGGAAGAAATATTTATGAGAAATATAATTACAGTCGATGTGCAGTTGTATTAAGTTCGTTTTATATGAATGAAACAGGATTTGGTGATGAAATAGGTAAAAACCATGCTTTTTTTTAATTTTAATTTCCCGTTATGAAGCCATATGAAGCACATTCTATTAAATGTTATATTTTGCACCATGATATTTTATTATATTTTTTTAATGTCTATATTAAATTTAGACCAAACTAGACACAAGTTTTGTTTTTGTGTATTGTTCTAAACTTTTCAAACAAATGAACACAATGCTCATTGGCTAAAGGTTATAATCAACATTTTTTTGAAGAAAAACACAACATATGAAAGATAACAAAACTAATTTTGGCATTCTATGGTTTAAATCTTGCATCTTTTTTTTTAATATTCAGATTCTCATGAGGCAGTTTTGCGACTAAACGATGCCCCAACAGTGGGATATGAGAAATCAGTTGGTAGGAAAACCACAATTCGTCTTCTAAATAGCAAATGCTTCAATGACAGTACATTTATTAATGACATAGAGGCTATGTTTGTGAACACCACACTGGTCACATGGAAAAGTGGACCATATAATGGTAATTTGTATAAGGTGAATAGTGTTAATGACATAGAGGCTATGTTTGTGAACACCACACTGGTCACATGGAAAAGTGGACCATATAATGGTAATTTGTATAAGGTGAATAGTGTTAATGACATAGATGAT